TGTGTGTGTGTGTGTGTGTGTGTGTGAAAGTGTGAAAGTGTGAGTGTGCGTGCGCGTGCGAAAGTAATTCACAATGCCAATTCAACCAAAAAGAAGTTCAAACATAAGACGTCGATCATAGTAGTTCTCAAACCCAGTACTTCTATTTTTTAAAAATATTACTGCACAAAAGGGTTATCAAATTATCACCAGTTCATCGTGCAAGTTCTCCAACATCAAACAAATTCTTTAAAAGTATGTGTCTTTACACCCTCACCCATACAATTTAGACCAATTAAAAGAGGAGTGCTTCCAACACTGCCTGTCAAGGCCAATCTGGGCTGAGAGGGATACGTTGTCCGTGCCGGCTTTAAGCACGCTTATGCTTTCTCCCGATGACCGTGCTTAAAGTCGGCATGGACTGTACAATATCACAGCAGAAAGACTGCCAGATACTCAATAAAACTTGATTCCCTTGGGAATCGAATTCGGGTCTGCTCCAAGCGACAGAAAAGCGTCTCACTACTACACCACAGACGTCATTTCTCCAACATTTGAAACCCTCTCCAAATGTCAGTGTCAGAGAGCATAAACGATTCTTGATGGCTGACAAACTTATTTTTCCAAAATAGAATTTCAAAAAAAAAATATTTAAAAGTAGCCTACCATTACATGGAGTAGTATTGCTTGTCTAAAATAAAACTTAGGTTGTCACCAGTATTTTGTAGTGGAACAATAAGCCAGCAAATATTTTTTTTGCGAGCACTTTCTCCAAAAAGTTCCCTGAAAAACTGAAGATCCACAAAAAAGAGGAAAAAAAAGAGATAAATGATAATGGATATCTTGTGCAGTTTCTGTAACTGGTCAAAAATGGTAAGAATTTGCACAGGTAGATTAAGATAATGTTTTGGTTTTTTTTAAAACATACAGTCGCATCTGCTCTAACAACCAACTGTATGAAGACAATCACCTGATCAAAGGCCACTTCCCATTATCCTCCCTTGCATTTTATTACATTATAAAGATCATGTGTGAGACTCAACCAGTCTTAGACAGACATTTTTCTACTTGGCTATGGGTGGCCATCTTAGACGGATTTGATATAAAAACTCAATGAAATTGAAATAAAACAACATTAATGCAGAGATATAATGTAATAACTTCAGGTTTATTTGCATTGCAAAATGTTATATTGTTGTTGGGTTGTTTTTTTTTCAAATAAGAAGCACTCCACATGACAACATTGAGCTGACGGCCCATAAAATGATGAATAAATCTTTCTTGAAAGTTATTAAAGAAATTGAGTATCTAAACACAACAAAAAGAAGTATTTATAAACACTCCAGTGAGAACTAAGATTATCTTTCTTTTCTTCTGGCCCAAGGAATAATGATTTGATACAAACAATTACTTGAAATTTTCGAAGTTTACCCAGCTTGGGGTACACTGAACACTCTAATTTAGTGAATATAGACACTTGGGTGACTTTGCACAACGCTTTTATGTTAGTTTAGTTCATGGTTTTACAGCGCTCACAACTGCAAAAGGTCATACGGGCGCGCAACGCTTTTATGATCTTTCTTAATGTAACATCTTTTACATAGTACTCAATACATATTGATAGACTTACTTTTTACTCAACTGATAGCACAATAGACAAACTAAGCCATTAAAGCAAGGTACCCACATAAAAAAATCAATGCACCCTTCAAATTTTAATGCTAAACCAAAGTTGAAAATCTTACCTGAGACAGCAGTAAAACTTCTGTTTGAATCTGGTGTAAAGTAGAAAAGTGAAAGTACAACCACATGAAAAAAAAAATTGTGAAATTGAGCATCTCAAAAAGACTTTAAAGAGCAAAAATAACATGCTCTAAAAGTAGTAAAAAGTCAATATGTGAGGCAGCCTGGTGGAATCAGGCTCTCGTCGAAATAATCAAAATGAAGAAACTTGCATTTCACCGCAGGTTTGTGAATTTTTATCACATTTATGTTTTTTGGCTCAACACCTTTCATGCCCATTAAAGAACTAATTTCTGCGTGGATTTTTCTGAAAAACGTTGATTAAAAGCACAAAAAATGTAAATTTTCAGTTACCACGGACTCTTACGATAAGTAAATAACTAATCTTTGGCGGCCGTTTTCTCATTAATTTTACCTCTGAAAACAGGTGACCCCCCACATCCTTCTTTCGCAAATATCTCGACCTGTATTCAAGATAAATAGATAGTTTTGTCATCCAAATAAAGACAAGTGAACCAGCTTTAAAGTGAAACCAATAACTTTACATGCCCAAAAATTGACGAGAACCTGATTCCACCACACTGCCTCACATATCATAAAACAACAGCAACAAGACAATTAGAGATGACTGAAATTAATCATCATGAATTTGTGGTGACACATTCAGCCATTCACAGAGTAGGAGTGAGTGGGAACATCTATCAACTTCAGGACTCATCTCCAGTAAGTAGAATAAAAGGCTTCCATAACCTTTGAGCAACAACAACAAAAAATGTGAAATAGTATAGGTTTATTAACACCTGTATAATCAACCTCTGCCTCTGGGCAAATCAAAATCAACGAATAGCATGAGAATGGAATCAAGAACTCTGCATACCAATGTATTATTTATTAAATAAAAAGCAGCGGGGAGGGGGGGGAGGGATGTTGTCAATAATTAATTATGACACATGGACTACTGTGTCTGTTTACCATAACCAGCAAATTATTATTTACGATAGTGAATACCAGAAAAAAAATATTTCTGTCGTTGAGTAAAGACATCACAGTTTTTGCTTTGTAAAAAGTCAGCAGAGTATAAACAAATAAAAGATTAAGAATTTCCCTACAGACCTTTACAACGCTCAATGTGCACATTAGTAGACTCCAATGGCATAAAAATACAAGCAGCAATTATGAGGCAGCGTGTTGCAATCAGGCTCTGGTCAATTTCGGGGCATGTAGAGTTATTGCTATCATCTCAAAGCTTGTTCACTTGTCTTTATTTGGATGAAAAAAATATCCATTTATCTTGAATACAAGTCGGGATATTTGCGAATGAAGGAGGTGGGGGTCACCTGCTTTCAGAGGTAAAATAATTGAGAAAATGACTGCCAAAGATTAGTTATTTCCTTAGCTTAAGAGTCCGTGGTAACTGAAAATCTACATTTCTTGTTCCTTTAATCAACGTTTTTCAGAAAAATCCACACATAAATGAGTCCTTTAATGGGCATGAAAGGTTTTGAGCCAAAAAACAAAAATTTGATAAAAATTCCAAAACCTGCGGAAAAATGCAAGTTTCTTCACTTTGATTATTTTGACGAGAGCCTGATTCCACCACACCGCTTCACATTTATGCCGTGGCATTGTACGCTAATGCTGTATGTATTTTAATGCCACTGGAGCATGCACATATAAAATGACATAAATTTGTATAATATTGTGTAAAAACATAGTACACTGGGATATAAATAACAAGAGATAAATATAGGAACAATCCATGTAAATAATATTCCAAAATTTTCTTACATAAAAATATGGTCAACAATCCAAAAATACCAAGGCAACATAAAATTCTCAATTTCTTAAACAGAAGAATAATTTAAAAATACAGTACTAGAAATATTCAAATATATCACAGAAATCTAACAGTCTCTCTCTCTCTCTCTCTCTCTCTCTCTCTCTCTCTCTCTCTGTGTGTCTCTGTCTCTGTCTCTGTCTCTCTCTGTCTCTCTCTCTTTCTCCTTCTCTCTTTCACTCTCTGCCTCAATAACGACAGTAGCAACAAAAATATAGATATATGATAGATAGTATACACATAGATCAGCAAAAACAAAAGTCCATGTATCCCTGAGCAGAAGTGAAGACATAACACTAGGCTCGTGAAATGCTTTTCTCATTCTGTTGCATCCTATCAAATCTTTTGCATTATCACTTCTGAGTTTAATATCAACAGCTTTTTTCACTTCCTTTTAAGAATGCTGAGGAAGGCTACATTCCTTTCCCAATCTGACACAACTCCTTTCCCATCACGATTCATAGTCAGCATATAACTGGTGAAAGTCATCATGTGAGTTTGCACAAAGTGAGTGTACAATTTATATTATTTTCACGCACAGCTACATCAAACAATAAGCTGGCATATATCAACTGCTTAGTGCAAAACTCCATCATATGTCATTACACTAAACAGTCGATATATCGTCGCCATCGTATTAAGGTCGGATAAGTGACATTGGGTAAATGTTCAGGAGAAGGAAAAAACTGATTTATTAAAAGGACGGCTTAGGGTAATCTGATATTCATACTGTTAAAATTATGTCCACTTTCCTGTGTTTACTAAAATATGAATTCTTAACCAGCATATGAAACATGCTTTGTAGAATATGTTTCGCGGAAAAAAAAGTAAAATAAAAAATTTTGTTGCTATCCAATCTTATCATGATGGCGACGATATTTTATTCAACACTACCTGAGAGGAGATATGTTTCAACAAATCTCGTGTTACCAGACAATTAACCTTCTCCATACTCGTATCTAAACAATTCGAGCAGAAGATCAGGAGGACAGAACAGGGTAGAGAAGAGAATTAGACAGCTCAAATCACATGCAGTCAAGTGCAGCAAGCATCAAACAGTTGTGGAGACACAGAAAAATCCTTTATTCCATAGGCCCAAAAGCCACTAATGATGATATATACTTGGTTTTAAAATCTTCAGCTCACCATAAGATCGTTTGTTCTGATTTAACAGAAATCATTTAGTTAAATTTTTTTTTTATTTTTGTTTATGAATTTTTTTGCTTCAATTAATGTTCTGTTCTCATGAATTTGGAGTGAAGGTTTACCCAACAAACATTGTCATCTTGCTTTTAGAAAAACAAACTCTAACCCAGGTTATCACAAAACTAACTTTAAAAAACAAAGTTTTAGTAAGAGTTTTATGGCACTTGAACACAAAAAGGTCATATAAGTGCAGAACAAACATTTGCCAATTTATAGCTTCTTTTTCTGTGCCACTGCACTTGTAATGCCAATTAGAATATCACAATAGCAACACAATTCTAACAAAATAACAGACAAATTGCGGAGCAGATTATAAATTCGGAGTGTATACTTGAAAAAAACAACGAGATCAACAGCTGTATAAGATTGCACAATAGAAAATGTAGGGAAAAAAAGAAAAAAAGAAAAAAAGATAAAGCACTCTCAAAATGAATATTCAAAAAGGTAAAATTGATAACAAATGATATAAAGATAACAATGTCATTCCACATTTTAAATACATATCCATTAAATGAGAGTACAAAATTTGCTGCAGAGAGAGCGACGAGGTCTGTTCTCTAGAAATAGAACATCTTAAGGCTACAAAAGGAAAGACAGAATCCACGCATTGCATTCTTCAAACAACATATCATCAAAGTGTATTACAAAAGAGCCTCCTAAAAAGAGAAATTGAAACAGGTACTTTGTTATACCTGTTGAAAGACAACTAGGATTCTCTGTGTTTATGAAACAAACAAAAAAATAAGTTGTGTTAGCCTTATATGTAGACTAACAATCAGAATTTGTAAATAAAACAGCATTACATGCATATATATTCAATTACAATAATATTCACATATATTTAAAAAGTAGGCTCAAGGAAGCAAGAGGTGATCACTTCCAATTCGGTCTTCTCAACAAGAGAAGATATACTGCCATCGAAAAGCAGATTGAATAGAGCAATAAACTGGATGTACAAATACAAACATACAAGAATGATTGGGTAATCACAATCTAAAAAAGATTGATACAATAAGATAAAATGATGTATCAAGTACACAACCCATAAAAAGTAATAATGAATTTGCATAAAACTGCTGCAGGAAGAGAACCTGTAAAATACCATAATTAAGGCAGCCATTTTTTCTGCATTTGTCCATCACAGTATAGTCAAATGGGTATCAGTACATTCAACCCTCCTTATTCATCCAGTCTTCATCTCCACTGAGCTCTTCAGGTTCATCATCATCATCATCATCATCGTCGTCGTCATCGTCATCCTTTTCTTCTTCGTCTGAGTCTGGATCATCTTTGTCAATGATGTCATCATTGTCATGGGTCAACACCATTTCAAGGCTTGATTCTGTAGAAAAAATCGAAAATAAGTATTGAATCAGATAACTCTAGGTCTAGGCTTCCGAATGCACAAAATGCCGAAACACATTGCCCCCAATGGACGCTGATCGGTGAAGGTGTGAAATAACAACAAAAGCGTTGAAGGAATGATCCCGTTTTTCAGATGCACACTTGTTAAAGTTCATATAATTTCCTTTCTGAATGGTTTGTGTGGCCTTTGAATGTAAAATTCAGTTTGTTTACAACTGGAGTGAATTTTGTTTTTTAATTGTCAACCAGACCCAGCATGAGTTTTGGGGGGATTTTTTTGGTAAGCGTTATACGATGCTCACAACTGCATAAGGTCATATGAGCGCGCGGGACACACCTAATATTTTCAGTTGGTAGGAAATTTTTTATTTTGCGCGGGTGGCAGCCGAAGCCTACTCTTATTGATTTTAGACCACCAAGGGATCTTTAACGAGTGCAACTTGCACACAGGCCCTCCGAGATTTTTCGCCCTTGTCCGAGAAGGCTAGGTATAGATCTTTCCTACCAGAAGATCAGAAGTATGACTGAAAGAAAGCAGTAAGGAGCCAAGGAGAAGCAATAGAAAGGCTGCAGAAAGAGTCAAAGGAGGTGAGGGGTGGGAGCAGAAAGTGGAGACAATAGCAGACGACAGAATCTGGCTAGAGAGCAGGAAAGAAGGTGAAAGGAGACCATTTTAGAGAAGAACAATTTTTTTCAGTCGCTACCCGGATTCAAACCCGAGACCTTTGAATGAGAGGCAAACACCTTAACCTCTAGGCCACGAGAGCCCCCCCAGCATGAGTGCTGCTTTACACTAACACCATGACGAAGATTTGGGTGATGAATGAGCTAGATCTAATGGTTTCAGTTCTCATTCTAAGCGTTAGTCCATTTTTTTGTGAACATGCAATCATTACATTCAATTTTCTCAATGTGCTGTAAATGTCATCATGATTGGGATATTTTTGCCGAGATACAGGTTGAGTAGTGAGTACCCCATCTAAATCCTGGTACGTGGGGTCAAAGGTTTTGCGCTCTGCATGCTGGGTTGGTGGAAAGTGTTAAATGCATGTACATACCTGTTTCATTAACCTCCGCTGGAAGGGTAGACTCTGGAACAGTCTGACCTAAAAGCTTCTTCAGGTCGGCATCTCCACCTTGTATGTTGAAGAGGAATGGCTTCGCTTCTGATTTTGTCACAGCAACAACTGTCGAAGACGATGGACCGACCATCTGCACATCATCCAACTATGGAAGAAATTGTCGAAGGGTTACAATGCAACCAGGTCTAAAGCATTAAATTTGTTTGAAAAAAAAAAAAGAATTTCCATTTTTACTGTTCGTGAGGGGAAACCTGGGCTACAATGGCATAAATATGAGGCATTGTGGTGAAATCTCATCAAAAATATGAAATTGTAGAAACCGGCATTTTGTCGCTGGTTTGGCAAATCAAATGTGAGGCAGCGTGGTGGAATCAGACTCTCGTCAATTTTTGGGCATATAGAGTTATTGGTACCATATTAAAGCCTGTTTACTTGTATTTATTTGGGGGAAAAAATGTCCAGTTATCTTGAATATAAGTCCAGATATTTGCGAAAGAAGGAGGTGGGGGTCACCAGCTTTCAGAGGTAAAATTAGTGAGAAAATGGCTGCCAAAGATTAGTTACTTCCTTAGCTTAAAAGTTCGTGGTAACTGAAAATTTACGTTTTTTGAGCCTTTCATCAACGTTTTTCAGAAAATTCCACACAGAAATGAGTTCTTTAATGAGCATGAAAGGTGTTGAGCCAAAAAACAAAAATTTTTTTAAAATTCACAAACCTGCGGAAAAATGCAAGCTTCTTCACTTTAATTGTTTTGACGAGAGCTTGATTCCACCACGCTGCCTCACAAATGTTAAAAATGTTTGGCTTAACAGGCCTACCTTTTATAAGTGGCTGTTACTGAAAAAAACGATAAATTTTTAGTTTTCAAGGACTCTCAAGCTTTGGAAGTCATCAAAATCTGGCAGCCATTTTCTCACTAATTTCACCTCTAAACTGAAACCTGGCAACCCCCACCTTCTTCCATTGCAAATAGCTCCACTTCCATTCAAGATAGATGGGTATTTTTTCATCGAAAGTAAGGCGAAATGAACAAATAACTCCACATGTGGGGAAATTGACGAGTGCCTGATTCCACCGAGTTGTGACATATATATATATGTGTGCGGCAGCATGGTGGAATCAGGCTCTCGTCAATTTTTGGGCATGTAGAGTTACTGGTATCATCTTAAAGCTTGTTCACTTGTCTTTATTTGGATGAAAAAATATCCGTTTAACTTAAATACAAGTCGAGATATTTGAGAATGAAGGAGGTGGGGGTCTCCTCCTGTTTACAGAGGTAAAATTAGTGAGAAAATGGCCGTCAAAGATTACTTATTTCCATAGCTTAAGAGTCCGTGGTAACTGAAAATTTACATCTTTTGTGCCTTTAATCAACGTTTTTCAGAAAAATCCACACAGAAATGAGTTCTTTAATGGGCATGACAGGTGTTGAGCCCAAAAACAAAAATTCGATAAAAATTCATAAACCCGCAAAAAAATGCAAGTTTCTTCACTTTGATTATTTTTACGAGAGCCTGATTCCACCCCGCTGCCTCACACATATATATAACAATGAATGTAATCATACATGTTATATATCCCCATTAGTACAATGTAAATCATTTGAGAGACAGGCTGGCAGGGCCAACCCAGGTTGAGACGAATACAGCTTCCATCAGACAAACGGAGATACTTGATTTTTTAAAAACCTCCCTAAACACGAATCGAACTCATGTCCTCTGCAGGCAATTGTGAAGAGCCTTATAACCCTTACACCATAGACGCAGGAACAATCTCATGTACAAGACATACATAAAACAATTCACAGGTGATACCAGTGCCAGATAATACACAATACTGTACCACACACACAATTTTACAAATAAACCCCTGCTGGTCACAAACGGTTACTATAGTGGGGAACATATAACACAAACACGTACAACTCAAAATCACGGATAGCTCACACAATTTGTAATTCCCCAACTTTATATCTATTATACTCTTTAAAGCATTATCACAAAGGACTTGTGGGTGGTTGGCGGGTGCTCTGGTGTGGTTTGCTTCTTCTTTCTTATCAACCATCTATCGTCCTTATCTCCCCTTTTTCTTTTTTATGTTTATTACTCTCTTGTAACACCTCTAATCTTCTGGCGCTCATATGACCTTATGCAGTTGCGAGCGCCGTAAAACCGCTACTAAAGCTAACCTAACAAAGGACTTTAAAAAAGACAGGAAATGAATAAAGGGTAAAGTTTACATCAATGTATGAGATCCCTCGGGTTCAATCTTCATTTTACATTACTTTTCAGATATTGTTGAACATCAAAGCATGTGAGCTTTACACACAAAAGCAGATAAAACCTTTTTCATGCATATTTTTCTAGGATCAGAAATCATTTTCAGGGCTTAAAGGGTTAAAAAAAAAAAAAAAAAAAAGAATCACTGCGCCGCGTTGGACCCCTCTCCCCCCATCAAAAACAATATCCACCAATCAAAACACCAGTTCACAGACTACTGAGGGAGTGTTACTGACATCTTTGTCATATCTGTAGACAGCGAAGCACTCCCAGGTCTTGGTGTCCCAGACCCGGATCCCATACTCTTCATCCCAGGAGCCCTGGGACACCAGCACCCTGCTGCCCGGCATGAAGGACAACTGCACACTGGACAAGTGCCCTTTGAGTCTCTTCAGCAGAGTGCCTGTGGACAGCAGTTGTTTTGTTTCTTTTACTGAAGTATTCTGTTTGTGAACTATCTCTTAAAAATCCAGTTACAGCTAGAACATTTCTAAATTTACAAGACAGCCCTTAAACTAGTACAATAACGTTTTCAAGTCAATTTTCAGAAACCCTACAACTTTATGCAACACTGAAGCAGGGGATTTTCAGAGTAAAAGATCATAGATTGCATTTTGAAAATGATCAGGACATAAAGGAAAAGAGAAGGTAGACAGGACAGCAAAAAAGGATGAATTCATGGCAACACTAAAACAAAAGCATCTTCTCATAATCATCATTAACAAGATATCTGTTAAAACCTTCTACAAATATTTTTTTAACATGACTAATCAACATTTTTACAATCTGCAAGGTACTTTGAATAACGGTAATTCAAGATGTGAGGAAAAAAGTGAGGAAGAATTATCATAATAAAAAGATGAATAAATTAAGGAAAAAAAACTGTTTGTCCACACCGTTTCTGTAATTGAAGATCCTAATCAAGTGGTCGTCGTGAGCAGAGATGAGTTGGTTCTCATCCAGCAGGACAAAGGAATCGATGTAGACCTCAGACTTGGTGTTGTTCTGTCTCTTGTACAGGTCGTAGTACTGTGCGTCAACCAGCACCGTGGTCAGAGAACCTGAGGGAGGTTGGTTGGTTTGTTTGAGTAAAAAAAAAGCACACCAACACAATTATGCTCATTTAGTGTTGGGAAAAAGTAAGACAGACAGTTTGTGAGAGTGAAGAGAAGCACAATGACACAATAATGATCATATGGTGCTGGGGAAAAGTAAGATAAACAGACAGACGGATGGATAGACAGATGGACAGACAGTCAGAGAGACAGACAGACAGACAGACAGACAGACAGACAAACAACAGATGGAAAGTAAAGAAGTAGGACCTACCACAAGTTTGTTTGAGTAAAGAGAAGTACATAGACACCATAATTGTCAATAAGTGATAGGAAAAATAAGACAGAAAGACAGAAACCACTGAGGAAAAGTAAAGACGTAGCATCAGTGGCACCCTTCAACACCCCCGTAAGCTGAAGGAGGTTCAGTGTCAGTAAAGAGAAGATCATTGCCATGACAATGGATATATAGCGCTGGCAGTAACATAAAAAACATTCACATGCTTAAATATAGATGACTTTATTAGAGAAGTAGTTTTTCCTTTACTTAAATACAAGTTCTTTCAACACAATCTTCGTTCCTAATCTTTTGAACACAACATCTGTCATTCCCTAAAATCAACAGCCCATGAGTTGTTGTTGCAAATGTCACTACTGATGCTGTTGGTGACATTTTGTCTTGGGTCTTAAATAGAGAAATGATCCATCCAGGAGAACAATCTTTGATCAAAGTTCATTGCAAAGAAACAAAGAAATAAACAGGAACAAAATCCTATGTATAGCTTTAGTCATTTTTTTGGTGTAATCATAATGTAATTAGTTTGCTTTATATAATATGCTTTTGTAGATGACACAACAAAACAAGAACAAGGTAGTACTTTATCTATTGTTGAAAAATAGATCACTGATAAAAATATTATGTTTGCTCACTCACATTTGACAAGGTCAAAAACGAAAATACTGGACACATCTTCTGCCTTGACGTTGGGAGACAGCAAGTTTTTGGGAATTTTGTAGTCACAGAGAAACATGAGGAGGTTGCCATCATCTGTGATGAGCCCATCAGTAAGGGTAAGGTAGGAATCTTTGTTCACCCCCAGCATCGTGGTCGAGATCTCAAACAGAAACTTTCGCTCAGGGATGTTGAAGACCAGCATTGGGCTCTCATCTACCTCCGCAACCACCACTGTGCCTGTCTTATTTGCCTGCACAAGAAAAATCAATTCAGTCTGAGCTCTGATGACTTCGTAGAATTTACATATCTGTATTCCAGATATACTCATGGTCACTTCAACTTCCATCTAGAGAGTAAACAGCCTGTTATTTTTAGATGTCTCAACACTCATTTCTCAACCATCAGTTACACCTTCTCTCCCCCTCTCTCTCCCTCCCTCTCTTTCTCTCTCTCTATCTCTCTCTTGCTGTCTCTTTTTCTCTCTCTCTCTCCCTCCCTCCCTCCCTCCCTCC